GTGTGTGTGTGTGTGTGTGTGTTTCTACTTAAACTGCAGTCACCTAACAGCTTTTCTCCTCCCCTCAGATTTGGGTGGACTACATCAACTTCCTCAAAGGAGTGTAAGCGGTTCTCCTCTAATATTTTGAGACTTTGCCAACGTTAGCCAACTCTTTAAATGTTGACATTTCTTTGCCGTGTGTTCCACTAGTGAGGCTGTGGGCTCATACGCAGAGAACCAACGGATCACTGCGGTACGGAGGGTGTACCAGAGAGGCTGCGTGAACCCCATGATCAACATCGAGCAGCTCTGGAGAGATTATAGCAAATACGAGGAGGTGAGTGACCCACCCAGGCCTCTCTCCATACATGTTTGCACACATGGAGCTGTTAAAACGTGAGAGTGATGGAGCGCGAGACTTACTTTGTCTTTTTCGTGACCAGGGAATCAATGTGCACTTGGCTAAAAAGATGATCGAGGACCGAAGTAGGGACTACATGAACGCCAGGAGAGTGGCAAAGGTGAGACAGTGTCGCCGATATCCACAGACCTCTTTTGAATCCTGTCTTTGTAGAATAACACAGATTGTTGCATGATGTGTGTGTCATTCAGGAGTATGAGACTGTGATGAAGGGGTTGGACAGGAATGCACCTTCAGTACCGCCCCAGAACTCCCCTCAGGAAGCCCAGCAAGTGGAAATGTGGAAGAAGTACATCCAGTGGGAGAAAAGCAACCCGCTGCGCACAGAAGACCAGACGCTCATCACAAAGAGAGGTGACTATTTGCAGGCAGGATATATTGTGTTGGGTTTGAGCTCTGTAAACCGTTGCTGTATATGCCCCCAAAACGCCTGTGATTCCTGTAATTACGTTAGTTTGTAATTTCATCATCAATCGATGGAGATGCATAGTGTTTGAATCTTTATCTGCTGTAGGGAAACGGTCACTAGAGGGCGTAGCTTTTCTCCTCACTCATGGTTAAAATGCATTGATCCTGTTTTTTTTAGGAATTGTAGTCAATTGCTGATGCGCTCTGTGTTGCAGTGATGTTTGCCTATGAGCAGTGTCTGCTGGTGCTGGGCCACCATCCTGACGTATGGTATGAGGCGGCACAGTACCTGGAGCAGTCCAGCAAACTGCTGGCCGAGAAAGGGGTGAGAGGAAAAACAAATCCTTTTCGGACTTGACTTTTATGTGAAACTGTCAAAAAAAACCTGCTGAGTATTTTTCAAAGAAGTCAAACTTCAGCTCCAGACGATCTGATATTGCTTTGTTTGTATGTTTTCCCGCTTAGGATATGAATAATTCCAAGCTGTTTAGTGACGAGGCAGCGAACATCTACGAGCGTGCCATTGGGACTCTTCTGAAGAAGAACATGCTGCTGTACTTTTCATTCGCAGACTATGAAGAAGTGAGTTGCTTACGCAGCAACAAGTTGTGATCAACGCAGTCAGAACCGCGGGGACCCATCAGCTTCTATCTTTTGCTTTTCCTCGCAGAGTCGCATGAAGTACGAGAAGGTCCACAGCATCTATAACAAACTGCTGACCATTGAGGACATCGACCCCACACTGGTCTACATTCAGTACATGAAGTTTGCCAGGAGGGCGGAAGGCATCAAGTCGGGTCGCACCATCTTCAAAAAGGCCCGAGAGGATCTACGCACGCGCCACCATGTGTACGTGACGGCAGCACTGATGGAGTACTACTGCAGCAAGGTAAGCACACATAATCACATGTTTATTACACAGTAGTATGTACAATGGTACTAAAATGAACCTTAAATATATATATATTTTTCCCCGCAGGATAAATCGGTGGCCTTCAAGATTTTTGAGCTGGGCTTGAAGAAATACGGGGACATTCCAGAGTACATACTGGCATACATCGATTACCTCTCCCACCTTAATGGTAGGTCATGTGTAATAGAGTGTAGGAAATATGTTCTTTACTAGTAATCCATTCATCTAAAAGAAGTGGCTTCGATTAACTCTTTGATACTTTCAAATGAAATGGAAGATGTCTCCATCATTGTTGTCACACGGTAATGGAAGATAAATGTGTAACCCTGTTTGTTCTGTCCTCCTCTACCACGTCAGAGGATAACAACACCAGGGTTCTGTTTGAACGTGTCCTCACCTCAGGAAGCTTGTCACCAGAAAAGTCAGGGTAAGTATGGATTAAGTTGTGTGCACGTGTATATAATTGGCGTATTAATCATTCTCTCTGACAGCATTTGCTTATTTTTGTTTCTCTTCCATCCTTCAGCGAGATCTGGGCTCGGTTCCTGGGTTTCGAGAGCAACATAGGAGACCTGGCCAGTATCCTGAAAGTGGAGCGCAGGCGATTCACTGCCTTCAAGGACGAGTATGAGGGCAAAGAAACAGCCTTGCTTGTCGATAGATACAAGTTCATGGACCTGTATCCCTGCTCTGCTAGTGAACTCAAGGCCCTTGGATACAAGGTGTGCATTCTGCCTTTTAGAGATGTCACATCAACGGCATCTCTCGCTGCAAAAGCAGTCGCATGCTTTTCTTTCAGCTGATATTCAAACTGTTTCCACTATGTGTTTGTAGGATGTGTCTCGTGCAAAACTGGCAGCGATGCTCCCAGAGACCGTGGTGACGCCCTCTACGCCTTCACTAAAGGATGAAGCTGACCGTAAACCCGAGTACCCCAAACCCGACACCAATCAGATGATCCCCTTCCAGCCACGTCACCTTGCCCGTACGTAGTCTTCTCTCACCTCCACTGGATGTTGTGACAAATCAGTGAAACTCTGTGTTTAAGAATGACGTTGTTGCTATGCATCTATACCTCCACCTCTCCTAAATTGACATAATGCATAAAATGAGCCAATCTTTGATGGAGCCTCTTGTGTTCCTCTCCACAGCTCCAGGTCTACACCCTGTCCCTGGTGGAGTTTTCCCAGTCCCCCCAGCTGCTGTAGTCCTGATGAAGCTGCTCCCTCCGCCTACGTGCTTCACTGTGAGTAGCAGCAGCAGCTTGATACTATCAATCTCATATGTACTGGTAATGAATAAGATGAAAGGAGCAGGGGGGGTTCTGCTAGAATGCACTAAGTTTGTGATTGTTTCTCGCTGCAGGGACCCTTTGTTCAAGTGGATGAGCTCATGGAATCATTCAGGAGATGCACACTTCCTGACAGTAAGTTGCTTTTGTCAGTGCCTTTTTCCAAATTTCTATTTTTAGACACACTAGAAACTGGACTCTGGTGATGGAACTGTCAGTCAGATATTTGAGCAGTCATCCAGTGATCAAGCCAACACTTGGATCCAGAGTGAAATATCTAGGCAGCTGTCAAATGCATTGGTATAAAATGTGTTACAGTGTGACAAAATGTTCTGCCCCCAATTTGTTACTGATGTATTTTCGGTCTCCATAGCTGTTGATGCTGCTGTAGAGCTGATCACTGGTAGACAGCCCGACGCAGGAGGGGAGGGCAATGGATCCATGGAGAACCACGCTGTTGCCAAGTCACTCAAGAGGCCTAACGCAGATTCCGATGAGGAGGACGACAAAGGAGCTGTGGCTCCGCCCATACACGACATCTACCGCGCACGCCAACAGAAAAGGATCCGATAAACCAACCAAAACACACGCGTAACCCTACGAGAATGTAATCTTAACAGGTGGTCATATGGGGTAAATGTACATGTCTACATTTCTGAGTGCGTCTGACAGATTATACATCCGTTTATCTCTGTACAGAAGACATACATGCACACACACACACACAGAGACATACGTACAGTATGTACACCTGAGTGTTCTCGTGGCTTTTTTTTTGTTGAACAGTTTTTATTTTTAAAGACTGACCATTATATTGTACAAAGTTTTTAATTCAACCATTGACTTTGGCACACAGCTTATTTTGGCCTTGTGATGTTCCAGTGATGGCAGAGTGGAATCAAGCTTCTTTTTTTTTTTTTTTTTTTTTAGATAACTGGAGTAAACAATTCCTTTCAATAAAAATGGAAAAGACTTCAACCGGATTTGCTTTTTTATTTGACTTAACTCATGCTTTATGCTTCATTGCTGTCTTTCTCTGTCGCTGTCTTGAGGTTTTATCAGGACTTGTCACTAGGCGGCAGCACACCACGCTTAGCTGAAGAGATCAGGTATCTTCCATTCAATTCAGTTTCCCTCTGACAGCAGGACTTCATGGGCTTAGATTTATCCGTTCTACATAAGGGCAAGAACATCTAAGATCATTATTTGGGTAAAGTAGGTTTGCATTTCTTTTGCACTTTAACTATGTGGATTTAAGTGTGAAACTATGAATGTTCTTTCAGCTTAAACTAATTTAAACATTAGCTGACATATCCAGACAGTTCCTTAGTAGTGACTAAACCTACTTTATGGGGGGAAAAAAAAACTTAACATGCTAAATGAACATTTTTCAATGTCAGCCAGCTGCTTAGTTTCACATTGGCCTGATTACATCATCATTTGTCTGCCCAGCACAGCCTGTGTTCCGAGTATGTGGCAGCTTCATCTCAGCTCTGGGCCTATTCACATGTAACACTGCAGCATAAAACACACCAGCATGCCACTGCCATATACTCAAGACTAAAGGCTACTTTGAAATCTGCACTATTTGGAAAACTCTGTCATTTGCTCTTTGAAACTAAAACAACCTAAATGTCTACTAACGTCTTTACTTTGAGTGTTTGTATTTAATTGCTTCTCAATGATAACCGTGAAAATACTTTGTTTCTCTCTAAGTGTTATAGTAGAGCTCCCCCAACCAAGAGTTACTATCAAGCAAAGTAATTGCTTATTGGCCCTTTCTCATTGTCAGGTTTGCTGTGAATTTCAAGCCACTGATTTCAGCTCGAAAACAGTCAAAACATATGAAGGGTTTGGTAAGTTTGCGTTCAAGCATGAAAGGCATAAATAACATCACCACCAAAAACAAAACTCAACGAAAGTTCTTGGAAAAGAAGCCACCGCTCATTTTCTCATTTGAATGACTAAGCCATTGTTTGCATATTTAAACTTGTCAATGTTGAGAAGAAAGCCTCCGTGTTTTGCATGTAAAGAATGACCGTATGAGAAACAGTGCGGGCCTTTTATGAAAAGGGAACTTAACATTACAGTACTTCCAACCTACTTCTTTGATTTCTACCAAAAAACAGCATGTGAAAAACACAATTTCACAAGTTCGTAAGTTGACTGGGAACCTCAATAGCATAAAACTGCTTTAGATTTCTCAATTACGCCACTCTATTTAAAGACGGGAGGGACTGTATGGCTGTTTTTAAGAGAAAAGGCCATGTGCCTGTATCTGGGTCATGTAAGACAGGACACAAATAATATTCACTTTTGAGACAGTTTGTCTCAAAAGTGAATATTATTTGTGTTCTATGGATAAATTGCTTGACTTAACGATCACATTTGTTCTCTTTTCATCAGAATAAACACATTTTGTGTCGACAATAAAAAAAAGGACAATGTACATGTATGGATATTTAACAATTCCAGTTGACTTTTTAACAATTCCAGTTGAATTTTATTAAGATTTGCCGAAAGATGTGAGTGGTTCAAACTTAATCTGGGAATGCTTTTGTCACCTGGAAATGTGGAAGCGATTTCCTCGGCTGATTAGAAGGAATACATAAAACATATTCGAAACAGAACCCTGAAGATACCACTATAACGTGGCGATGGTTCAACTTTAAAGTAAAGAAAGAAAAGAAGAAGAAACAAAAAAATGTACAAACATCTGTTTTGCTGAAATGTTGCAACAAACACAAAGACCCAGAGGGCTGATTCTCATGAATGCCTCTTACTGTTGTGTACAACAGCACATCATCAGACTTTCAAATTTCCAGGTTCAAATTTCCGTTTGAGGGTTCCTCAAGACATTGTTCCACTGTGCGTCACATTGTACACGATAAACCGCATGAACAGACACATTTTTAATGCTAACAATGTTTCCATTGAATAGATATATGCAGACTTGTCCGAATGCCATCAAGACACGTTGCAGTGTGAAAACATAAAAAAAAAACTCTCAGGAATACTAGGTTCATTTAGTCGTTATGGGAAAGTAACAGTCTCATATACATTTATAACAGACAAGGACGTTTCTTGTTAGTGTCCTGCACCAAAGAAAATATCTCCACAATTAAAATTCACATTCTTTTTCAGTAGTTTAAACTATTTACATGCAAGCAAATAAAATCCACATTCTGCACATCTTCACATCACATAAGCTTTTGTTCTTACGGCTACCTCTCTTTACATTATAATACAATAAATATCACTGTAGCACCACATTGATACTGGACAATCTATTTCCAAAGTACTGAACAAAGATCTCTGGGTGGCCTTTATAAAACTGTCCCAGCAGCCGTCTCTTCTCTTTATTGGAGAGTTTCGGGTTCTCGTGGACTCCCCGGAGTAAGGACCGAAGTTCCTCTTCCGTCGTTTTTTCTGCATTCTCTGAGAATGCCTGAGAGCTCACTCTTGTGCAGTATGTTGATCCTGCAGTAGAGAGAGATTGGAGAAAACTGAATTGAAGTGGAAGAAGAGTTTGTCTTCCTTCGTACCAAGGGAAAGTGTTCTTTCGTCAAACAAACAGCTGTTGAACAACTGAATGTATAAGATGAATATATAAATGGCAATCTGCAAACCTGTTATCACATCTGGATCTTTCCCTTTCACAATATTCATTATTCTGTCACTGACCATCTTGTGTAATGAAACCGGAATCTGGAGGAAAAGAGAGCAAAATAAGACATGAAGTTTCTATTTATCTTGACATAAAGATCCAATATTAATATAAATACAATCGCAATATGTATAATTATTATGTTTACTTACCTTGTAGCTGTCTTACACAGTCAGACACATTTTATTTATGAATTATTTTTCAAGTAATATCTGGTGTGAAGGTTGAAATCCTGCTTCAGCCTGTTTAAAACAGCATTTTCTCTCACGGAGATGTTGATTGTTACATCCCTCCTTCAACACCAGACACACATGTACACACACACACTGGCAAAGAGATAACTCACTTTGAACAGATCACAATGGTTATCCATCATGAACAGAACCATCAAGTCCACCTTTCCTTTGGAGAGTTTTCTGCTGGAGACGATGGCACTTGAGAAAGACCTTTTCACCGCCATTCTGTTCTCGATCTGACAGTGAATTCAGAGTTAAAAAAGATCAAACATACACATGTACAGACTCACATACGAGGCACACATAGCGCTCACCTCTTTGTGCAGCTTGACCTCCTCTGGTTTGGCTGCAACGGCCATGAATCTCAGGAGCCTGCGTAGCTCCTCTCTGCTGCGAGAGTCTTGCAGCTTTAGGCTCAGCTGCAGGGTTTCTAGAGCTTGCTCTTGCTTGCCGTTCACTGACAACAGACCACAAAAAAATACCAAGATGAAAATGCTGAGCTTGAGAAAAAGCAGCCCTTGTTGTTAAAATGGCACCAGCAGCAACATACTGTATATGAAACCTGGATTTGTGCATCACCATAAAAGCCCAATTTAACCCTCCTGAAAACAACAGGAACACCAAGAAGATCTGCTCTTACCGAGTAGCTCCGAGATGCCAGAGTGGATGTCGAAAATGTGATTGCTGAGCAGAGGTGGCTGTTGAGCGCTTCCGTAATGCTGAGCCAGGATGTCATAGAGCAGACCCTTACACCGGGGCAGGTCATCAGCACAACCGGCCAGTCCTCGGCTGACCTCCACCACCCGTTCATCAGGCAGAAACTCCAGACAGTCCACTGCTCCTGACATCCACTCATCGGCCCTGAGGGGAGAGGGGGGAAAGATAAGCTCTTGGCCTTCAGTGATTTAGAGACTCTACTGCTTCCAGTAAGCATGGATCTGGTCATTTGCAGGTGAAAACATATGCAGGGTTTTCTAAACTTTAAAACAAAAAGCATTTCATCATTATTAATTATTAATCAATTAAAAGTAGCAACCACCACAGTATAAAAATGACAGAGTGTATCAAATGTAAATGCACTATGCAGAATGGCTCCTCTTAGTGTTATTACTATATTAATGGATCGTTATTATTGATGCATTAACAGTTAAGTGGTAGTTTAATGTTTACTTTTTATTTTTGCAATAACTAAAATACAATTTCTGAAATTAGGGCCCACTTTGTCAAAACTTGACACACAAAATCTTACATCTCTTGCAAAAATAAACACTTTATACAATACTATATAAACTCTTCTAAAATTGGTATTTTTGCATCACAACTTTACATACAAACACCAAATAAATAGCTCTTTCCACATGACAAACGCCAACTGATGCACTAAGTCTTAAACGTGATTATTTAAAGTCTTTGACATTTTCATTAGTAGCTAAAACTCATGACATGAACATAGTTACTGTATTGTACTGCAAACAAAATGCAGTATTGCAATTACAGTCCTCTCACTGTCTCTTCAAAATTGGCCTCCAAACCAAAGAGCTAACCTGAATCCTATTTAAAGTGTTCAAGTTCTGATTTCTACGTGACCTAATTGGTTACAGGTGCTTCCATAGAAGACTGTAACACTGTAAATGTTTTAGAGGACTTACTGTGCTTCACTGAAGGCCTTGAGGACCTCTCGGTCGAGGTAGCTTGATGTATACAACAGGTCCGGGTCACTGTCCATGCCACGCAGGGGAGGCCGCGATGTGTCTTTACCCTCTAACAGCTTCTCCAACAGGGGGAGCTCTATCAGCTGCAACAGCCTGAACACAGCCTGCTGGTGCCACACCTCATCCACAACTGTGAAAACACAGAGTTACAAGCCATAAGGGTCATAGGTGCACAGACACATAGTGTGACTAAGCATTTGCTGCATGAAGGGTACGACTTACGCTCTTGTGAGAGGCCGAGGTTGATCATTTGAGGGGTGATGGAGGAGTTCAGGTTGAGGTTTCCTAGCACGTCCTCCAGTGATTTCTCTGTGTTTACAGGGCTCAGCACGCCTTGTCTGAAGAGTCACATAATAACAGCAATCAGTGAAAATGATTTGGAAATAACAGACTTATTAGAGGAACCAATCAGGCTGCAAATGTTTTCTAGTAACTGTGATTCATACTCAATTTAGTGTTGTTTTGATTCCGGCCAACACAGGCAAAATAAATGCTCAATTCCCAGCAACAATTTCTGATTAACATTAAATAGAAGTCTTTTCTCTTTTCTTTTTACATTATTCCCAGGAAACCTTCACTTGCCCCATGTTGCAAATAATCAAAGTCTAATTTAAACTGTTTAATTAAGCACATGGCACATTTATCTGCAATTTGTTGGGCCTGATCTCTGGTCCAGTCTGGAGCTTTCACTCTCACAACAACACAAATTGCTGAGGCCACGTGTTAGCGCCTCATGAGTAATACCTCGCGTCTGTCTTTGCCACATGTTAGACAGCCTCCCTAGAATTGAATTGGGCAATTCACTTATTTGCTTTCTTGCTGAGAATGAGTTTAGATGTCACGTCTTTGGTAGATATGAAGCTACAGCCAGACAGTTGTTTTAAATTAGCACTAAGATAAGACCAGACACTGTGGGAGACAGCTAGCCCGGCTCTGTAAAAATACACTTACCACCATCTCTAAAGCTCACTAATTAGATTGTGTACAAAATGAAAGTGTAAAACACTTTATGTTCATGGTATGAGCCGGGATGACTTCTTATGTCCAGTAACTTCCTGCAGTAATGTCATCAACATGAGTTTGCCAGCTAAGAAGCATTCAACCAAAACCAATAGTTGTTTTAACTTCATAAGCAAACGAGATCTGATGTGTAAAGCAGTGAGCTTTAGAGGTGATGGTAGGTGGGTTTTGTTATCTTTGTTACAGAGTTAGCTATTTCCCTCTATTCCCAGTCCTTGTGCTAAGCTAACCTAGCAAGCTTCTGGCAGAAGCATCAGAGGGTGGTATTGAAGCAAGTGGGTTTCTGTATGTTTCATATTTTAAAATGACTTTTTGATTTTGCAATTCAAGTTTGTATTTGAAGTTGAAACTCATTGCAACCCACTGTGCAGTGAGCGGGTTTATCAAGACATAACTGCATGATGGGACTTTAAGAGCATCCAGCCATGCCTGACTAGTTTTCAGAGACACCCGGTGTGAAGCTACACTGGATTTGGGATTAGCTCTGGTGGAAGGAGAACAAAGCCAATCACATATGAGGTCGGAAGATTGTTATGACACGAGTCTGTACCTTTCATGTGACGAACTGTAGCCGTTCTTGTTCCTGTTCATGTTTGGTGAGTCGTAGCCACTCTCGATGGTGCTAGTGGAGTTGGCGTTGGCCAGCGATGATGAGGAGTCGGTTGTTGGGCTCAGGAACCTGTACAAACTGCAACTACTGTCCTCGAATGTGGCTGGCTTCTTTTCCTTGCAAAATACTTTCACGCCCACTGGCTCAAATACCCTTGAGTCCATCAGGGCCTGACAGAGACGGACGGCCTTGAAGCGGGGCACCGCCTCGTCGCTAAAGAAACGGTTCAGGGTGATGTGTGCCAGGACCACGTCCACGGCCTCTGAGCCCAGGAAGCAGTCATGGTAGGACTTGAGGTTGTGGCGCCGGCGCTTAACCTCCACGCAAGTGTGGAGATTGGAGATGATGCTGCTCCAGATATAGGTGGCCCGGAACGGCTTCCCAGCCATGCCTGGTTCTGATGGAGGAGAGGAGAGGAGAGAGTCAGTGGACGGAGGGTGGGAAGACAATCAGGGGCGTGGGAATGAGGGCTGAAGTAGAGGTGATTTCAATAATGAGCATCTTTGTTTTGAAGACATCCAGCATGGGCTCTAGGGAATTGTGATAGCCATTTTTCACTTGACTACATTGTTAATAATAAGATAAGACAATCAACTGTATGACTAAGCAGCAAGAACAAAATTAAGATTATAATAAACTTTTATAAATGCAGATGCTTTATTAAAAAGAATTTCCCTAGACAAGTCTTTTTAGTGACTTGTTATTCCACAGTGGACATTCTCAGCTCTGTCTATTGTCTGTGCACTTTCTCAGAAGGGAATTGTGCTTTCTGTCTTTACCAAACAAACACTCCCTCTCCTCTGTGTGATGTCAAATAATCACAATCTGAATTCAAGTGACTGTATGTGGGTGTAACAGCACAAGGTCCAGGATCAATGCAACTCACACAGGCGTAGTAACCGAACCCAAGCCCTCGTTTGAGGCATGCTTGTGTGCATTATGCTGAAAAGCTTAATTCTAATTAACTTAACAGATGTTAACACCTCAGAATAAAATTGTGTAGTCCACCAGTATAGGTCCAAGACAATACGAGAAACAAAGAGCATCATCTGTACCTGATTTTATCTCAACAGGCACCTGATGCAATCTGTCGACACAAAATCACACACACACACACACACGCACACACACACACACACACACACACAGAGAGAGGACAGGAAACAGAGACAATGATCATATTGTGAGCTTATCTCATATATTCCTTTTGTATTTTCCACTGAATGGGCTTCATTGCTACGAACACAGGCACACAACTCAGTAGATGATTCATGCAATCAAACACCGACACGTTCAACACTACATACAATTTCTCAACATATCTCATCTGTGTTTGATGATTTTTGTTTCGGGAAAAAGGACTTGTGTCGTCCACCGCAAGCCAGACCAATGTAAGAAAGCAGAGCTGGTCTTATAGTGAGATGTTAGTGTGGCTTTCATCTCACAACAGGAAACATTTAGGGCCTGTTGAGCAAATGTTAGGGGAGGATCTGAGAGGCTCACTGAGGCCAAGGGACATAAATCAGGCCCCGTCAGCACCATACAAGGCTCCATGTTATGATAACACAACATGACAAACGCTATTACTGACCCATCTGTAAAACCTGACAACAAAAACACTGGGGAACAGACAGCAGCAAGCAGATGTTCGTCCACTCGATTTACAAATACTACAGAGATGAAGTTGACAGCGTGGGGCAGATATCTTGGTGATCTACTGATTAATGAGACACATCTACGTCACACTGTGTCTCCCTCTGGGAGAGAAGACGCTGTCCTGATCTGGGGATTTGCCTTTGCAGGGAAGCAGGCTACAACTGGGGCTGCATGACAGGAAACATGAGATATAGAATAGGCTGGTAACGCAATTAATTCAAATACACTCAAGTTTGAAAACGGATCTTTCAAATAAATGTGAGAAGAAGTTCATACTATGCAAACATCGGTCAATATGAACTCACTATATTTGCAGCATATGACAGGAATAATGTACTTTTTGGTCAGGACAACTAGAAACACTCTGCATTACCAACATGAAATCCTTTCTCGGCCATCTGGAGAGTCCCATCTGGGGTCGCTGGATTACCAGTCACAAAATAAATCCGGATCTGATCAATGTCCATTAATGCTTCTTGTTAAAAAGGAATAAAGTGGGGGTCGGGTGAGGGGTCAGAACAATCCTGGGAACCTGGCTGTGATCTGTCACCTCTTGTTGCTTAAGCCAGGCTGAGGTTTAAGCCCAGTTTGCGCAGCTGACGCCAGACTTCTTCCCTGTGACTTTGGTCCTCTTTATAAAGAAAGACTGCAGGGCGATGCAAAGAGGGCACTGACCTGCAATTCAGCCAAGGACAACAGTGCACCGTGTGTTTGTACACATCAGTGGAGGTAAATAACCGCGGAGGGAGCAGCGCAGTCAACACATGGGGACGTTCCCCTTGAGAGCACGGTGTTTAACACCACTCTCACAACCTGAGCTGCATTATCTCTGCGGCAGCAAAGCAAAAAGCATATTTAACTTTCAAGCACTGTGGTCAGAAGCTGCATGGAGCTCAGGACATTATGATTTCAGGCGATGGTAATGCTCTGTGGCACCTGCGGACCTGTAGCAGCGGGTTGTTAATAGCCTGTGGCAGATACCCTCATTCCTCCAACATGCTGAGAGCGGTGAGATTAACTGCTCCACCCTCAAGGCACAGTATGAAAACACGGAACCATGGAGATTGGCCCGTATGAGTTTGAATCCTCACATCCTGCGTGATATAACCCAGTAATTGTCCTGTTCTTCATGGTGTTAACGCAAACACTTTAGACTGCTGAGTCGGCACTGAACACTATACTGTCAAAGAACACAAACGTTGTTCTTATTCAAAGCTTTAAACTCATCTACAAAGCATTGCGTGATTTATTCAACTTGAACAAAGGCAGCAGCTAAATTAGACATTAGAAATCCTTGTTTTAATGTTTTTTTTCCTCATATAAAAAAAACTTGACCATATGTTTCGCGACAGAATAACAATAATGTACAAACAATGGTGGCATAAACGCACATATTTCAAAACAATATTGGCTCTTTAGTAGAAACATTTTGATTAGCATCAGACCACATGTCCCATTAGAAATAGTAGCACAAATCCTCCAAACGCGCGGTGTGCGTAAAATATATAATAAAAGTATGGCACATGACATTCCCATGAAGATACCAACAGTTTCAGTAAAATCCAAATTAGCGGCAGGCGACAAATGGAAATGTATTTCTGCAAAAACATCCCATCTCAACTCAGCAGGTTACATTGCAGAGCTAAATAAACCAAATAAAATCACACTATTTCAAACACGACAGTGTATTAACAACATCTAGCCATCACTTTTTCAGCTAAAGGTGATTCAATTAGTATTCGTCTACCTGGTGTTCGGTGCATTTAAACGTCCTCCAGTGACTGAGTAGACTGCCATTCAGACCATGTCCTTGCTCTTCAATATACGACGTGACGCACGCAACTAACTACAGTCAAACCCGAAACCGTCCCCTCCCACTGAGTTACATTATTCATGTGCTAATCACCGCCCTATGCGGGCATTAACGTGACAATGAGACTCTCACTGTTTCCTTGAAGTTTGACAGAAGGGCATCTTCCTGAGCTGAACTGTAAATAAGGAAGAGGAATGGACGTGACACTTTCTATCACGTCTAACCAAAGCTCCTCCATGCAGGGAAAGGTTGTTTTTTTTATCTTCACAAGTGCCATACATGTTATTATAATACAATGCTGAATAGATAAAGCCAGTGCGCAGAATTGCCAATATTCCCTACTTAAGTCCTTTATTCAATTATTATTATTGGTCAAATAAAAGACTTTCAATTTAAAGGAAATGCTGAAAATCCAAGAGGTTTTCACACAATCTTTCACTCACAAAGTCACACCCTTAAAGCCTACACTGGAGGTAAATCTGATCTGATAAAGAACTATAGTAAACAACATCTACTATGTGAGATGGAGAAGAAGGGGCTGTTTGAATAATTGGGATTCAAAGGATAAAAACACACACACAAAAACAAGAATGGGAATGTTTTGGGGAAAAACAAATAGTGGAGTCACGTGTGAACACAGGTGCCTTGGGTGTCAAAGTGACTCTGATGCTATTCCACCTCGTCTGGGATCATCCATGCAGGCCGAACGTCCCTGAAATCGAATGTCTCAAGACTGCCAACACCTACAAACATGTACACCCCAGAGTAACGTAGCAGGAGCTGTGGTGGGGACAGATGTCAAGAAACGAGGCTCTAACCCGGTGCCTTCTTTCTTGAGGTGTAATCTGACAACAGAAAAGTAGTAAGCTGACAGTGTAAACCCAATGTTGGTCACTTACTCAAAGGGAGACAAAAAGGAAGACAGCGACTATCATCACGAGACACAAGTGTGGTGCAAGAGGTAGAGGCGTGTAAACCGGTTTGATTACAGTCCTCTTAACCTCTTCCTTGTAGAAAAATGCTCTTTTATGTGACCAGGTAAAGAGAGAACGAGTGAGCATAAAAGCAAGAGGCAGAGATCTGTAAAACCTTTTAAACCATTTGATCAGAGAAGGAGAGTTGTGAGCAGGTCACCAGTTTGCATTCACAAAGCACAGACAGAAATGTCTTCCTACTTACTGTTGAGCTGCTCTTGAGCAAGGCAGGGTGCTCTAAGGAAACTGCAGATGTGCACGTGTGTAACTTTACACACAATGTTCAGTTTATCGTAACAAATACGACTTAGTCCATCACAGAAACAGCTGCATATTATCACCAGTGGTTTTGAAAAGTAAAAAAAATGTCGAGCGTCTTGCCTGTTTCACAAACTGGAGGTGTGGGGGTTTGAAAAAAGTGGGCATTTAGAAGGCAGTCTGCTGAAAGATGGCAAAATTGCATTATGGAAATGTAGGATACATTGACAGAACCATTTACCTGGATGGCTAAACACAGAAACAAGAACAATCAAACTTCATACTACTATTCCAAAATATCACAAGGACTATAACACTTTCTTGCTTTAATCCCTTTCCCTGATACACAAATGGCATCTTGCTTGCATTCAGTCACAAAAGTAAACCTTTCTTTGCTCCCATGTCAGAAAAATCTGTTTAACAATACCACTTGACTTTGACTATCAGCACAATGAGGTATGACTCATAAGCAGTTACTGGCATCAAACAATCTTTGAGCACTGAATTCACAGAAGCTCAGGATACTAGGTTGTGGCTTTAATGTGCCGTATGTGTATGTAAACGCACCTTTTCTGTTATTGTAGATGATGTAGAGATATTTTTATATTCACACAGCCATCGTGTCCAAGCGAACGGAATAAAAGGAAATGCACACTGAAAGGTAACTTCAGTGCATTCAGCTAGAGGGAGAAACAAACTGGTTTTACAACTTCAAATGAGCGCACTGCAGGCGGACATGCTGGTATTTTGTAAACTTGCCACAATGCTGACATCAGTGCTGTAGAGTGAGACATGTTTTACACCAACACAGAAAATGAGATAGATAAAGAGAGAGAGAGAGAGAGAGAGAGAGAGAGAGAGAGAGCACACTGGTTCATAAATTCAGAAATTCTAGTCCACAAGGTCAAAGCAATATTGACTCTCCTGCTTCTATCCATGAGCCCGGACAGCCCTGCACATCCCTTTCTTTAACCTTCATTCTTATCGGCCACGCAATGTTAGTCATGTCATAGTTTGTTTACAGTTATAATGATGACAAAGAGATTTTCTCCAGGAAGAGGCATTCAAAAAATAGTTTCTGTTTACAGATGCGATGTATGTGGAAAATTGCCCCAAATGCCAGTCTCGGAGGAAGTATAAAAGTACTACTTTTAAAATGTGACTTGGGTAAAAATGCAGCAAAATATACTTAAAGTATTAAAGGTAAAAGAACTCTTTTGGAATAAAATGGAACCGTGTGACTGATATAATATTGTTAATGGCGATGCATCAGAGTGTAAGTCACATGTTACTGTTGTAGCTGGTTGAGGTGGAGCTACTTTGAAGTATTTTATATACAATTGGGTAGTTTAGTCCACTGTTACCTAAACTAGGGGTCAGGCCCATCATAAGGCTTCATGCAAAACATAACAAGGTTCTCAGACACAAATCTATATTCATTTTTTTTTTAATATTCTCTAAGCTTTGCCTTTTGTGAAATATTTGGCCTCAACAATTAGTTTAATGAAACAATCTGAGAAATGTAGAGGGAAAAACGGTGGAACTCTGAGACATCAGAAACATCACAAGAGGCTCCAACTATACACTGCTTTTTTTGTCAGTATCAGAAGTCTAGAAAGTTTAGAGACTAATTTTTAAAGTGCATTTGTTTATAAAAAAGTAGTGAAAATATGGATCGACCTAGCAACTAGATGAATATATTCCACTGAATTGAAGTGGAATAATAGCGTTAAGTCGCATAAAACAGAACCACCAAGTACAAGTATCTTAAGTGTTACTTAAGTGAATGTACATAGTTACTTTCCAAGACTGCCAAATGCACCGATGCAGATGTTCAGTAAGTGTGCACGTCACTGGTTAAAGCAGCTTTAAAACCACACAGTACATTAGGTTTTACCACTGGGCATTTCCAATACCAATAGGCAGCGCAATCCAACACACAGCCGTCCAGTCACTGTGCCCTTCTTACATTCTTACGCCGCCTCAAGGGTCCCCTCAGTCTGTCTCCCACATATGGAACAATGCAGTTCATTAAAATTCATATGCTTTTCATCTGGAGAGCAGACATTCAGTATCTGTCTCCAGCAGTTGTGCCCGTGCCGGAATCCCAAACGCTCGTCTGACTGGCCTTCCTCCGCAGTCCTAAAGGACAGAGGACAGTGGCTTTCCTCACAGAGCCGTCGCTCTGCAGCACAGAGACACTCTTGTTGTTTGGGGGTTGCCAGTAATGTTTTGCATTGTGGCTCGACAATCATATTTTATTCAACAGGCTCTCAGACGACACAAAAGTCAGCCACCAATTCACAGTGAATAATTTGGTCATGAGAGCATGGTGGGCGAGCATCACAATCATGTCCTCCCCGCTAAGGAATATGAGCCAATACAAAATGCCGCACTCACTCCAACAAGCAGGTGATGTTTTACACTAAGGGACCTCTCTGAGCTGAGGACACGTTCTCTTTGAGTTGGGGGACTGCAGACTGTGACCAGTAGTGAAAGGATGAAAGATGATAATCTCACTCTCACCTACTCTTACCTCCACCAGACATCAGATCCTGTGTCATGGAGATAATTTAATGTACCAAGAGCTTCAAATGTTATGAGATCATGGAGAAAAAAAAAAAAAAAAAAAAACCAGAGGGAAGACTTTTCAAAATCTGGTGCGTCAGACGCGAGCCCCAGATCATTTGGAAGATGTTAACCCTCTCAGACAAAACACATGGAAGCAAACATCTAATACATGCCGCACTTTATTTACAAACTGCATCTGTAAACAGCAAGATTGTTTTTCACAGCGTAAAATTGATAAATGACACATAAAGAGTCCATTTTTGGAAAACTGTGAAAAAACAGTGAAAAAGTGTCTTGGAACAATATTTACTTATGTGAAAAATATATATCTATTTGCCATAAAATGTGGGCTGAAAAAGACAACTTGTATTTATTTCATTTTACCTTTTGGTAAGTCAGTCATATTATTTCATTAACAAAATTCATAAAAAGCAGCACTGGAACTGCACTGACTTGCATCTGATAAGCAAACGGGTGTTTGAAGCACAAAAGTTAAACCACAATATAGATACAGTATATAGTTACTGAATTCATCGCTGCAGTTCCCACCTCCCTGTTCTTTTATACAAAATGTACATTATATATAAGTTGGCACTCCATTCAAAAATGGATGTTTTACAAATGATATATAACTACGGTTATACATAATATATAGATTGTTTTCGTTTTTTACAATAAATCAATTTGTCAGTATGTGAGCCTACACATCACAGGGTTGACAAAGGCTTGTTAGAACTGTCGACAATCAACTTTCTGCAGGTTTATTTGCTGTGCTCTACGTCCTATGCAGATAGATTTCTATCTAGTGCTTACACACAGTTATAATCTGTCATTTAACTAAAAAGAAAGAAGAAAAAAAAGATTGAAAAACAATTTTTTTTTTTTTATGAAAAGGCCCATAAAAAGGGGGCTTGTAACTACAAAAACGTATGAAGACTAAGAGAAGCATTATGTGCAAGACTCCCATAAAATGCTCTCAAAACCAAAGTCCTCTGTTGATCGACTTGCTGCTTTCTGCTGAGACGCAGACTCTTAACTTTACCGTCTCGCTGTTCAACTGCTGCCACCTTTAGGCCACAGGCGCCAAAACGTCTCTCAGGCAAGTCAGCTGACAGGTCCCCGATTCAGATCTCTCTGTGGCTGGAAGGAGAGACTCACTCATCCTTCTCTGTTGCCATGTTGAGCTGGAGGCCTCCTCCTGTTTTTAAGTGTTGGACTTTGTTGTTTTACGGTGCGTTTGATTTATATATTTTATGTTAAACCGAGCCTGTCGGGACTGGATCACCGGCAGGCCTGCTGCACTTGACTGATTAGCTCTCCGAAGCGATCGAAGAGCCCCTCTACCCAAGCTCCGTTCTGCAGACACTTCTGTACCGCCTCCTCCTGCCCCAGGTCCACTGTCTGCACCCGCATAGATGCAATCTGGAGGGCAGACGCACAAACGGAAAAAAACATTTCTAAAAGAGCTCAGCAAAGTTTCCCCTGAATAATTAGCCCACAAAATACAACTCGTCAGGGGGTAAAATGTTAATTCAACAGCAGGCATACTCGCGCAAACAACGTCTCACCTCGTCCTTACACATAAGGTAAGTGTGGTACTTGTAATGCTGCAAAGAGTGGTACAGAGAGAACCACTGAGTTTTCTGCTGGTCCACTGTATACTCCTAGAAAGGGACAAAGCAGACGTGTTTCAAAGACATTTTATACAAGTGGTATCAGGGATCTAATGACGGGGAAGGGAACAGTGGCTGCAGTGAGAAAGACTAAATGGTGCTCTCTACTGGACAGATATTGAGAGCACAGTCAATTTGACCAAAATATTTTCTTGTCTTACCTGAGGCACTTTGTTAGGCATCTTGTAGGGCTTCATGGTTTTCTTGTTGTAGGCCTTCCCACTGAGACGCACCTTAAAGGCCGGGGTTTCCCCATCCTTCTTCAGTTCAGTCACAACGGAGATCTCTGGGAAGCTGTCTAAAGCCGTCTGAAGACACACAACAGGGGAGGTACTTGGGTTACCTTTGCTCTTTCTCATCAAAACAGATTCAGGTTTTGTTTGTAAGGTTGTCTTTTAAGCCTCTTAAGCCAAAAATAATGCCCCAACAAACATAAGTCACACCCACCTTTAGGACCTGCCCTATGTGCAGTTTGTGAAGCAGGCGTTTCCTGTTGTCGGTGATCATCCCGTCCATTCTTTTCATCTGTGGCAGTAGAAACTCATCTGAAACAGTACAAGTTACACCTCAAGTCTACTACTTTTCACTTTTTTTTAAAAATTCGGTTCTTGACCTAGCTTGAAAAAAAGTCAAAGGTCGATTCACTCACCGTTTGCCCTCTCAAGTGCTGTCATTACATCTTCGTCTAAGGCAATGCTGAGGAGCAGTTCCACAAAGCTCCTGAATGTCTCCTTCATGGTCCGCGTGTTGAGTAACCGTGAAGCAAACGGTACTGGAGGGTTTAAGTCTAAGAGTGTGTGTGTGGGACAGATCAAAGACCATGAAGATGCAGTGAGAGAGCGGGAAGATATTTAGACTACAATCACATCAACATCAAAAAAAGTCAAAAGGCCTCCTCACCATCATCTTCACCCCCCTCTTCTGCAGATGATCCCGAGGAAGTAGGGGAAAACTCCTTCCATTTCCTCCTCTTCTTAGGTGGGGGCTCGGCCCTGGGCTTCAGTTGTTTGGGTCGAGGCTTCTGGCTTTGGGAGACTGAGGAGGGGTCGACTGTCAAGCCCAGCAAAGTCTTCACCTGAACACCCCTGGGTGGCAGAACAAAGGAAGTTACACCACTGAAGAGCCAAGTTTAAAAAGATAAAAGGAATTACATCATCAAGTACCTTAGCGAGTTCATAGGCTTGCAGCGGGGCTTCCGACTACATACGCGTACATACTCCCTTTTGTTGACGGTGTCCAAGAACTTCACGTATACCCTCTGGTACATGGTCTTGGCATCACCAAAGTATCCAAGATACTACACAAAGGAAAACAACATGTTACCTGTTGCAGACTAAAGAGAAATAATTTGAATGATTGAATGCTCATGCAGTCATACATCGAGTATTGGCGTGTCTGCTTTTA